ATTGACTAAATTTGTTTAGATATAAATAGTTAACAAATTTGAAGAAATAGCCTTGTGACAATGTACAGGATGACCAGAAACTTTTGGTTTTAAGCATTTATTTGGCTTTCCCCATAACGTAAACTCAAATGTGTAATGTATGAAAAGAAAGCTGTTGGGAAAGGATACAAGTTTCAGTGGCAAACTGTAAGGAATTCAGTTTTAAGTTAAAATAAATATAAATCTTGTGATTAAAAACTGCTGTACTGAACTTAGGAATGAAATTACTTTGAAATGTATCAAAAATGATAGTTAGAGAGATTGATAGATATATGATCAATGAAGTACAGCAAAGTGCTGATTGTAGAATCTAGATGGTGGGCACATGAGTGTTCACTGTAAAATTCTTTCAACTTTTCTGTGTATGAAAGTTTTAATAATAAAATGTTGGGGGAGGGGTGGCGATATAAACTGCTAAAGGCATGAGTATTTCACTTCCCTGACTTGAGACTTTTGTTTTCTCTGTAGGAACTTTCCGCTGTACTTTTTGCCATACAGAGGTAGAAGAGGATGAATCAGCAATGCCCAAAAAAGATGCACGCACACTTTTGGCAAGGTTTAATGAACAAATTGAGCCCATTTATGCATTGCTTCGGGAGACAGAGGATGTGAACTTGGCCTATGAAATACTTGAGCCAGAACCCACAGAAATCCCAGCCCTGAAACAGAGGTGAGTGTAGGCCCTGTGCTCTTTCCAAGGACACTTTAAAACTTGCCCTTGTTTTAACTACCTGTACTTTGGAGAGCAAGTGTGGGCAAGTAATTTACCAGGAGACTGAAGACTATAATGTTAGGGGCTGGCCAGGTGGCGCACTCGGTAGAGTGCGGCGCTTGGGAGCGTGGTGGCGCTCCCACCGAGGGTTCAGATCCCATATAGAGACCGGTCTGCTCACTGGTTTAGCGCGGTGCGGGCGCGCCACTGAGGGTTGCGATCCTGTTGCCGGTTGTGATCCTGTTACCGGTTGTGATCCTGTTACCGGTTGCGATCCTGTTGCCGGTCGCGGTGTGGGCGCGACACCAACGGTTGCGATCCTGTTACCGGTCATGAAAAAAGACAAAAAAAAAAGACTATAATGTTACATATGTTCTAAGCTCTGCCATACTTGTCTTAGCCTGTGATGAAATTTGTTTGTACTGCATGCAAAACAGTGTGGGCCTTAGGCAAAAATCTTTAAATAGTTAGGTTTAACTTCAGGTACTTGGACCTGCAGCAACTCAACCAATTGTTAGCTAATCCTAAATTAGTTGTGCCTTTTGAGGATATTTGAGTTTTCGTAGCCAACTTTTCTTTAAGGAATACAGCATTTTCTTTTTTGTTTTTGAAGCATTTTAACCACACGTTTATTGTCTTCCTTAATTTTAAATGCAGTTTTCTTGAAAGTAAAGTATAGTAGGTGTTGTCTGGGGGTTAATACTTGTAATAATGGCTCCCTATTTTTACCAGTGTAACTAATGTTTGAATTGCAGAGACAGCCTTAGTTTTGCCATGCCATAAAAAGTGGTTTGTATTCATTTTTGAATAGCATAAATGAGAATTGGAGTCAGGGAGCTTTTTTTCTGTCTTTCTTTCCCATGTCAAGCTGAGTTTATATCCATCTGCTCATTTCCATGGAGCTCAACAGTCCAGGTTGTACTTGTATGGTTTTTAAGAGCACTCTTAATATCTTATTCCCTCTGGTACTGATGTTATAGAATAGCCAGTTCTCAGCAAATTGAGTTTCTTTTGGGTGGTTAAAAGCAATCCAGTTGTACAGAAAGTTTCTAATCTAGTGTGAATTTTCTGGTCTAGCACCATGTATCAGTTGGGATGCCTTTGCCTGTGATAACAGAAAATCCAACTAACGGTAGGTAGATTAAACAATAAGAAAATTAGTCTTGCATTACCAGAAGTCCTGAGGTAATATGGTTCAGAATTGGTTAATTTTGCAGCTTGGTGTCATCCTCAAGGATCTGGATTTGTTCCATCTTTATGCTCTGCTTAACTCAGCCTGTTGGTTATCCTCTTGGGACTGTGAGGGGTCTAGCCTAAGATGGCCATGTCTCTCCAGGTATCACACGCAGATAAAAATGTCCAAATGCAGAAAAAGGGACCATTTATCACCCAATGCCTCACAGGCTACAGTTGCTGTATATTCTTATTTCTAAACCAGCATCTGGCAAAGGAAATGGGGTCACATGATTGGTGCTTAGGCTACTTAAGGTTTACCTTAGAAGGTTGGGGGAGGTCCCAGAGTTCTTTGAAGCACATAGACATCAGTACTTGAATAAAACCAGTAAGCAAAAAGGAGAGGAGCCACAGTTGGTAGGGAACCAATATCATCCATATCACAGGTAGCATTAAGTTTTTGTTACTGATTATTTGGCCTCTTTTTTTTTTTTTTTTAAATATCTTTTTTTATCCACTTAAGTTATACTGTAGCTCTAACATAGAAGCCTATGAGGGAAATTGATTTTACAAGAATACATAATTTTCTAAGCCTGTGGATTATTTCATGTTGAAGTATGCTTCAGCATACTCTCTCTTAGCTTTCTACACAATATAATACTATCTGAATTCTTGTGTTTCCTCTTCTACCTACAGTTATTCGTCCTGTTTATCAAAATGCTTCCCCACTACAATAGCATTCAGTCACCACTACCACTGGCTTCCTGCCTCTAATGTTCCTCACCTACCACAGTCCAACATCTACCTCCCATTCCAGGATCTTTTTTTGGGAGGGAGTGGTGGCTGGCAGGTATAGGGATTGAACCCTGGACCTTGCTGTTATCAACACAATGCTCTAACGAACAGAGCTAACTGGCCAGCCCCCATTCCACAATCTTTATTTAGATATTCTTCACTCCATGCCTGAGACAAGTCATAGTGGTCCAGCAACACCAGAGGCCCACCAGCAGCTCCTTATATCATGTCACCTTCTTCTGATCAGGAATGATGAGACTCTAGGGATAAAGAAGAATCAGGAAGTAGAAGAAATAAACTGATCAGGAAAGAGGATAGCCAATAGCCTGGTCATCAAGGAAGAAGCAGGGATTGGAGACAGGCAAGAAAGACAGAATGGAGTAGGAACAAAGTACAATTGTTGCCATGTGGTCAGGGGAAGAACCACTGGAGCTAGGTTAGAAGATGTTACCCTGGCTGAGATGGCCCCACCAAACATTTCGCAACAAGCTCCACTGTCTGGATATAGCATCCTGGCAGAAGTATTGATTTGGCCTGTCTGGATTACAGGAGCATAAAGTTCTACAGTAGCCCATCCTGCCCTAAAGACATCCTGCCACAAGTACAAGAAAAGAAGCATCAATAGTGTGGTATGAGAGCTAAGAGACAACATTTTTCTTTTAATAGGTGGCATCATTGTTAATTTGGTTACTGATATGTAATCAGTTAAATTCTAGCTTGTCCCTATATCAGGAACTAGAGGCTACCTCTTTAGAACTGCCAA